GGGGGGGGGGGGGGGGGGGGGGGCGATCAATTCATTGGGATTACTCATTCAACTGGAGCTCAGGGTGTAGCTCAGCATGATAGGGGTCTGTGCCTGCATCCAGAATGTTTTGCGTTTGAATCCCACTGCAAAGTTCTCTCATCACTGTTAGGCCCATGAGCCCCAGTTGCTTCAGAGGTGCAGAATGCTGACTGACCCTGAGCTCTGACCCCTAAACTTGGGGTATGTGAAAAATAAAGAATTCCTATGTATCTAGAAATGGAACATAGATCTTCTCTTAATTTTTATGCTTGATGAAAGTTGTATGAGAGCTGGGCAGGTCACAGGTCCCAGTATAAAATTGACCAGTATTCCTGTGCAAGGGCTTAACTTGACGAGTACGATTATAGATGCTGTTTACCTTTTTATCTGTAAGCAATTTATATCTGTGTGCAACTTCTGGAGAAGCTTGGTGTAAAGCCCGCAGTAATGACGGTGGCCACCAGGGCGGCGCTCTGCGACACGTACCCCTCTCCCGTGAGCGCGCAGCAAGACTGGATGTGCCAGGGGTGGTCCTTGATGGAGCTGAGGGTGAGGGACCTGGAAATCTCAGCAGCGCTCATGCAGTCCTTCACGTCCTGCTTGTTGGCGAAGATCAGCACGGCGGCTTTGCGGAGGTCCTGTGTCACGCGTCATGGGAGCACAGGACTGTTAGAGGACAAATGCCCTGGGGCCTCAAGGTCACACCAGGCCCCTGGGGCTCGATAAGGCCATACCTGAAACCCTCGAACACATAGCAGACATTTATTTACTATAAATACAGTGGTTTGAGATACCATCTGTTATGCATCAGGCCATTGTTTAGGGCCTCTTCTTAACCCCCCTCTGTGAGAACTGCCATTCTCAGGGAAGAGGTGGAATTATGAAGGTGTCATGCAGTTATGAGATGGGCAGCCAGGGGGCGCTCACCTCATGGGCCAGCATCCTATGCAGCTCTTCCTTGGAGATGGCAAGGCGCTCCCTGTCGGTGCTGTCTACCACCAGGATGACGAACTGGGGAGGGGTGAGAAAGGCAGGAGACACCTCAGACTGGGGGGCAGCGGGGACCCCCCCCCCACCACCACCTCCCACAGGCTTCAAGACACTGCAAATCTTAAGTTAACAAGACACACAATCAATGGTGGAAAAATCAGAAAAGGTATTTCCGGGGAAATACGACCCCTGTGATTTCAACACCCACCTCATCAACCCCCACAAAGCAAAACAGGGCGACTGTACCCACACTCTTATTAAATTTTTTTTTTTAAAAAGCCTAAATCATCCTGATTATAGTTTCAGTGGAAACAGCCCAATTACATCATCCCCATGTAGTAAAGATCACTGAAACAGGTCATGTGTGAATGTAGTAAGTATATTTATATATAATTACAGAAATTCAAATTGCACAGGAATGATAAAAATTCACCCAAAAATAAGGTTTTTGGAGAAGACTGGGGGGGGTGGGGGTGTTTTCATGGACCACACTTCTTTGCAAGTGTAACTTATACTGTCCAAATAACTAAATTAAGACTTATAGTGCAAAACAAATCAAAAAAGTACTCAAATACCCTGAAGATATTAAGGAAATGAAAATAAATAAACACATTACCAGAAGGTATACCGGCAATCAGACCCTAACTGAAATATGACTGCGTGATGTAAAGAGATGGTCTTTGTGTGAAAGGGAGGGGAGACAGACCGGCATATTGGGGTGGGGGCATTGAGGGTGCAGCAGGAAGGCCCTCCCACCACACGCGTATCATTCACACCCCCCACCTTTAACCGCCCCCTGCATTCACTCCCCCTGAACAAACACACCAGCTGTTCCCCTTCGAGGCATGCTGCCACGCAGCCGAAACCCCCCCGGACCACATGCGTCACAGATCAAAACCCGACACCCTCATGCGGCCCCACACCTCCCACAAGGTGAAGCGACACGCGGCCAGACCGGGCTGGAAGCTCAGCAAACCCTCCTTCCAGCTTTCATTGTGACATAGGTCAGCACTGGAAGGCAGGGGCGAGGCCACAGGGGCACTGGCCCCAGATGGAAGTTGATTGGGCCCCAGAGTGCCACCCCCCCTGTCACTCACAAATTCAAACCATATTATTGGCTAAGAATAAGGTTGCCCCCTCTGTATGAATTATGGCCCCTCTTATGTTCCCCACCTTAAAAAAAAAATCCTAGAATTAATATTTCTCACCTTGGTCAACCTGTTAAAAGTCCACTTTAAAATTTGCATTTAGACAGACCAAGATTCATTCTGTTAAAACCACCAGTGAACTACATCAGCAACAGCATGTTATTTCAGTACTGTTCCAGATTCCAGGTGGTATATTATTGGCTGAGCTGCAAACCAAGGAATTATGGGGAAAATGTTCTCTCTCCCCTCCCCCACCCCATAGCCAAAACCAACTTAACTGCCTCAAATCAGAAGCAGCCACGTATCACTGGAAAGTTCTTTCAAACCTGGCATAGTTATATCTAAGATTTCGACCTGGCATCATACCGTTGGCCCTGGGGCTATGAACCACACCCTACACGGCTGCCACAACCAGCACTGCAGGAAGACGGGCGTGCCCTGCATCCGCCTTCTGGGGCCGTACCTCAGTGTTGGAGTAGTACGTGTTCCAGGAAGACCTCAGAGACTCCTGGCCCCCGATGTCCCACATCAGGAAGTGGGTGTTCTTCACCACGATCTCCTCCACGTTGCTTCCTATCGTGGGCGACGTGTGAACAACCTCGTTCATCAAGCTAGCGGAGAACGACAGGAGAAGGAAAGTCTTTTACATGAATAAAAACCCTCCCAGATGGACAGTGACATGGGTTCAGGCCCCCAGGACACAGACACATTCTTAGAACATCTCAACACCTGACTAACCTCATCATCTCCCACTGACCCTTAACAACTCATCTTCTACTGTTGACTTGTCCATACTCAAGTGGTCTCCTTGGTATCCTAGATACCTTTCGCGTTTGCCTACGCTATTAAAAATCTTGGGTCAAAAACAACCCAGGGTTGGGGAAACATTGAACAGATAATTTAACAATGATGGTGTGTTATTGTTCACACAATGTTGGTGTAAATTTATCATGGGTTGTTTATGTCTATTTATGTCAATTATTATTACTTATTATCATTATTATAGTTATTAATCATATTTTTATTAAATTTTGAGAACTTTTCACAATGAACTTCACTGAAAAAGTGCAAGGAGCTGCCCACAGAATTTTTTAAAATAGATAAACATGTAAACAAATGAATGCACGGTAAAATAAAATTACTTTGGGGTTTTGTGAGCTAAAAAGTTGATTAAGACAAAGCAAAACACTTTGACAATCTAACACAGCACATAATTAAAATGCCTTTAAACATTTTTAATTCTTCGAACTTTTCATAATGAACTTAACTGGGGAAAATGGAGAGCAGCATTTCTATAAATGAACATGTAAACGAATGAATGGAAAAGTAAATAAAATTACGTTTTAAGGATGAGTAAAACAGAAAATGACATTTTGGTTCAATGTCATCTAATGCACATCGAAGGATAAATCTATCAACTTGCAGAAGTGTAAATATTGTAGATCTTAATTCTAGAGCTGAATTATCTTCACAGTGAATTATTTTCATAAAACCAGCAGTATTTCTGAGGTAGATTATGTAGAGGTCATAACAGGGGTGTTAGTGGAGTATAACCTTGCTCTGTGTGTGTGTGCGTGTGCGTCCGTCCCGGGGGGGGGGGTTGGGGTGAGAAAGGCAGGAAATACCTCAGACTGGGGGACAGACTGCAAGATGGAAATTTGCTAGGTCAACACACAATCACCATAGCAGGCCACGACGTGGGACATTACCTGATTGGAGACCCAGCTTACCCGCTTCTAAGGGGGCTCCTTAAACCTTTTGCTCATACTGAACTGCTGGCACATCCGCATAAACGATTCAACAGTCACTTCGTACTTATTTTATGTGCATTTGCGCTGACATGAAAACAAAACATAATGCATTTTAATCTTTACATGGTAACTCTCCATTTGCGGTTTACAGGTTAAAATGAAAGGTATTTTCTTGTCATAGCAGCGCAAATGCACATAAAATAAGTACGCATTTGCGCTTTTACAAACAATCGATTGTCGGACGTATCGTTTTTAAAGGGGAATGCCTACTTGTGTACCAGTTATGTCCATCCCTGGGAATAACATTATTGTCTAAAGAAAGGAAGATATAATAAACCTAAACATTATTATAATTACTGTTTATATTACAATACTATTTTTTTTTTATTATAAGTACGATTAAAACCAATGAATTGATAGCAACCAGCTCATCTTTGTATCTGTGCCACATCAGCCGTTTGAAGGATGTTTGTGTGCTTGTCTTCCAACAGTTCAAACGAAGATGTTTTTGAATGAGACCAAGGCTTTCCCACAACAACGGGGGCACAGTTACCTAAGTTCTGGGTCAAAAATATAAGCAAAGTAATCCCTGCTGGGTCACGACTGGGTACTTAGACTGAAAATGACCCAGCAAAATTACCCAACGGGCTCAACCAAGCACTTGGGTTGAAAGAAAAAAAAGTGCATTGTACTTTTAAGATTCAGATTTAGTTTCTTACTACCATTTCCCTTGGGGGATATTTCTAAGCTGATTATATGTCTGCACACTTAATGACACGTTATCGCATTTCTGATTACAATTTTGTGGTTTTAAGCGAGCGCCTATAGCTGTTGTCCCCCACAACTACTGCAGTACTGGTTCCTCACTAGAAGCTCAGCAGAGCAGCACCTGCACTTAAACAGGCTCCCTGATGGCTGTAGGCCGGAGATCTATCATCTGTCTCCCTTGTACGTCTGCCACATGAATATATGTAATATAAACGTAATGGATTCAGGATTGGTTGCCTTCAGACACTATGATAAAAGTGGACGGGGGTATTTAATTTGTATTACAGCAGCTGATATAAAGATTATCCCTTACAAAGGACAGGGCCAAGTGGTTGCTCAGCATGGTTTTTTCATGATGGGGAATTCATTCTTGGGAATGCCAGAGGGATCTGGGGGCCTCCCTGACAGGGAACTCTGTCCCAGCCTCAAACACTAAGACACCACCTCTCTCAGTCTGCTGTGAGCAGATCCAGAACTCGCCATTTCAATCACTTTCCCCCCCAGAAGAAAACCCCTAAGATGCCAACAAACAAACAGTGTTTGGGGAAAGTACTTTGAAACGGTACCTTTTCAAGCTACAAGCTACTTATGATTAAAAGTAGCTAAGTTACAGCAAAGCTACTGTTTTAATATAGTAGTTAGCTATGCTACAAGCTACAGAGAAGTAGCTAAGTACATTGAAGCTATTTCCTCTGCTAATACTTAATATTTGTGCTGTAGGATACTCTTAAAAATTTTGAAACATGATGTTAAAAGTAATATGAAAGTATTTTTTTAACAATGTCAAGTCACAAAACATTAAGAAATTTTCTTTGGTGTAAACCAAGATAATTCACAATTGCTGAGTGAAAATTAGAAGGGTTATAACAAAAAAATATATATAAAAAAAGATTTTGATCATCTCTCCAACAACCAAAGTGCTCCTATGCATTTTAAAGAAAGTGTCTGAAATATTGTTTGCCTTGAAGTATTTTTCAGCCGTTTAACATCTGTCCCCAGAGTATTTAAGCAAAAAAACACCAACCAGAAACACCTGGTAGCTGAAAATACCCCTCTTTGTAAAGAGAGAAAAATAATGCAAGTCGTTATTGATTAATCAGGACATTATACTAACAAATATCGACTTACAACTGTGATTTGTTCCAATTGACTCGCTGCTAGCAGTTGGTGTGGAAACTGTCATACACTCACGTCGCCACATATCTGCGGTCTCGGAACGGTCGTAAAGTCGATCAGTCGTAAGTCACATGGTCATAAGTTGACCACAAACTGTAGTGTTTTTTTTTCTTTTTTAACAATGTATCGTCTTGCCAACACTACATCGCTATTTGAATATAAAAAAAAGTTACTGGAAAAGCTACAGCGTTTTAAAAGTAGCTGCGCTACTAATAAGGAACTGAAAATTAGGCAAGTTAGTATCATCGCCAATTGTAGTTAGTTACTCCCCAACACTGCAAACATAGGACATAATGCCCCAGGTATATTTAAAGAAAATTCTCTTATTCAGGAAAAATATGCGAGTGTTCTCTCCAGGCTGTCCCGTGCCTTGTGCCCAGTGCATTCTGGGATATGCTCCAGACCCACTGCGATCTTAAACTAGATAATTGGTTAAAAGTGGCCAGGTACCTCAAACTATGTCCGTACAAAATGAAAATCGAACACATTGACGAAAACAAAATGATGCTGCCATCTTGTTCGTTAGATGTCCCTAGAGGGCGAAGAATGTTTTCCATGCAGCACACCCACATACAGAGCGCAAATTACCGTATGGTGGCGGGAGCCTGAGGAGATGACAGCTCTTTTGAAATTAAAGTTACTCTCTTTATTAACAGCCATTCCTGGTTTAATATGAGCAGTGGCAGACAGGGAAGCCAACAATGTACAGTTATAGTTACACAATAACGAAACACGTATTCCACAGTAAGAACAACAAGGTCACGACAATATTAACAGAAATGCACAAATACACATATTGATTTACAGTATGTAAAGTGCAGTGCAGTGCAAATCATGTTGGTACAGTACCTGCCTAATTAGTCCAGCTGACCAACCCTGTGGTGTCACCTTTGTGTCGGCCGTTCATGGACGGTGGGTGGGATCAGAGTAAATGAAATGGTGAGCCTCAGAGACCCTACACAGGTTCTGCACCAGAACAGTGATCACCACAACTCCTACGGCACTGTATTGCTACCTTAAGTGTGATCGATGGAGGTAGGTGTGGTCAGGGTGCGAAGACCACGACACAAGAGAGCTGGCGGATGAAAGAGGACATGATCTGCCCTGTCCCACTCGGACATAGGCGGTGGTGTTACCATGACGTCACGCAAAGACCACTGCGGCTCTCTGTGCCATCAAGACCCCATAAGGGCTCAATCGTGTTTACTGCAGTGGATCTATGTCCATGAGGTCTAAGAGACCCCATGACATAAACACCATAAAGATATTAAATCGTTAACAGAGATTCCCGCAAATGAGGCGGCAAGGGTTCCACCTCATGTGTGGCTACTCACAACTGGTACAGTATGGTGGTCTTCCCAGCATTGTCCAGGCCCACGATGATCACCTTGTGTTCTGCAGGATGAGAACATCGAGGTTAGAACTTTCTAGAACACTTAAGGACCTGGCTCCAACCCCCACCCCCACTATTTCAACGCATGTGACTTCCTGTGGCTGACCTCATTCCTTTTCATTCATGACCCACTAGCTTCCTTCCTTGCCCAGAAGGACCCCAACCCCCCCAACCAGACCCCCCCTCGATAGCGTGAGAGTCTCCGCAAGAGTGTGACACAGTCGGCGATGCAGAACACAGAACACAGCGCACAGCGAGACCCACTTAATAGTCATGGCACAGCGATGCAACTGAATGGTTCACTAGGGAAGGCCATAACTGGGAAATATTCCCCACCGCTTAGCCACCCATATTAATGACATTAGGCCATTCGTATACATTTCCTTTGATTAATATACTGCCACAAAAGATGACATTTCACCCCATAAGTGTAACCTAAAACAGCTCGAAGGCACCAATAACTTCACAGGGGATAACATATGTCTTTGGAAGCTCTCATCCTCAGGTGAACGTTTAGTTCTGGAAGAGTCCAAGTTTAGCTTACAACATTAGGAGAGTTCTCCTATAACATATTTGGGATGTTTTTGTTCCAGTTGGACAGCAAAGACCTGGGTACAGAATAGATCTGACCCAGGTTATGTGACATACTTTTTTGAGAAAGTAGGGTCAGATAGTCCCTGGAGTCCCTGGTACAACTGAGGGGTTAGGGCATGGCTCAAGAGTCCAAAGGTGACACTCTGCCAACCATGGGATTTGAACTGGCAACCTTCTGATCATAGGCAGGGAGTCTTAACCCAATGAGTTACACGCAACCGCCAACACCATAACATATTCAGGATACTCCTGTTCTATCGGACAGTAAAGACGGGGGCACAGAGTAGCTCTGACCCAGGATATCAGCTGAACTACCTCTGAAAGATGGCTGACCTGCAAACACAGTCCAGGAGGCAACCATCATGGATAACCAATCTGGGTGGGATAGCAGATCAGCAGTCAACCAGCCCCTCATCACTCACGGCAAGATTAAACTGGTTCTCTGACACTGGCAGGCCTTTGCTGCTGATGTTAGGGCACACAGGCTATTTTTCCGGAATGATCTGCCCCTTGGGTCAAAAGCATTAGCTGTATGATAGATAAGGAGGAAGGAAGTGGGGGTGGGAATGTCATCCATGACGACTGTGTTGGCCAGAAACAGCAGATACGGCACTGGGATTACTTCCTGAGGACAGTGGTCAGGCTGTGAGCCACCAGTCATGGAAGCTGGAGAATTTAAATCAGAAAGTGGGGTGGCATCCATATAAAAATGCCCTTAATAAGCTCATTTTCTGTTATGGCTTAATGGGGTCAACCACATAGAACATTCAGCAGACATGCCCCAGTGTGGAGAGCCTCAGGACACCTTCATGTCTATGGGACGCAGGACCAACCACCCGTTAGGAATCCGTTAACTGACAGCTGCATTTCCTGCAGTGAAATGAGAGGACTGACCACAAAAATGCAAGTCTGCATTAACCGCAGTACAGAATGCGGTACACATACATCAATAAATGGGATCCTGGAATTCTGATGCAAGCTGCAAAGGACAAAAAAATAATATGACCACAATGAGAATTTGGACTCGTAAAAGTGTCCAATACAGAGAAACAACATCAATAGCTGAGACTAATTGCTTGGGAATATAAAAGATCTAGGACCCAAATCCCAGAAGACAATGCCCTGTATTTAATTAGGAGCAAGTCATTAAATACTAACCGAATACCAACTACTTAGATAAATTTAAGAAGCAAGACCATTTACATTTGTTTAGCAAATGCTTTTATCTAAAGCAACATACATTTTTGAGATAGCAAGGTCAGCCAATGCTTGGAGCAATTATGAGTTTAGGGCCTTGCTTAAAAGCCCAACGCTAAAACCACTCTGCCAAACATGGGATTTGAACTTGCAACCAACCGATCACATGCCTGGCATCCTAACCTGCTGGGTCACACACTGCCCCACAAGATATGAAAGCTGTTTGGAGCGAATGAGCCCACAAAGGAACCAAACTGTACTGTAGATTCCTAGAGATTAGAAAGTTTTGAAACCTGGGAAGCAACAAGTGTACCTACGTGGGAGTAGATTCAGCAGGTTTACCAGGATCCAAACAAGCCACAGATCAACCAACCCAAAGGCCAGGATAGCTTCCTGGAGAAGGTTTACATGTCACTACAAGTCAGATCATGTCTCCATTTAAGTACCTGCATGGAAACTTTTGCCAAAGGACAGGGAGATTCTTTCAAGAAGTTTTCCAGAGAGTAACATTTGATCTGACTCACTGCACACAGTATATTATGTCGGTTTATGCTGGGAAAGAATCAGACGTTTGTCTGGTGTGAACCTGCAAGAACTTCAGCACCCTCTTTAACAGTGGAGCTCGAAGTTTCAGAAGAAATTATTACTTTCTGTGAAGTCTTTTGTCAGACTGCTAACACATACAGGGCAGGACGGAAGATTCCACGTTAAATGTATAGAACCGAACCGTTTTTAACCAAAACCAGTCCGGACATTGCAGAAATGCACATTTTTAAATCATTGGGAATCAAAGAAAAGTCAATAAAACTGGTGAATTTAGTTTCTTCGCAAAATAATTAGGATGTATTTAACTATAGCCTATATAGAGCATTTTGTCAAGACGGCGGCTGTTAACAGTGAGCTACATCAGCTAGCACTGACCGCTAATGAAATGCGGATTGGAGGCAGATTAAGTGCTTAAAATTAGGCGGACACTTAAGACGTATTTACGCTGGAGGACTTGACAATACTTTTCTTCTATGAAATAAGGAAATAAAAATCTCAGTGTAGACCCCCGAGAATCTGTCCAAGACTGGCGAATGAAAAATTGAGATATGTAGTGTAAATCGGATTTCAAAAAGCTAAACACAGTGGTTTCCAGTGCTACAGCAGCATGCACACCACTCGTTGGAGGGGTCATCCAATTCAACTGCATATTGGTCTGTAATGGAAAAAAAGGGGGGGGGGTTCTCGTGCCACCAATTAGACCAAAGCTTCATGCTTTCTGCCATGTCCCTTTATTCTGAAGACCCACAGCCCCCCGGTCAACCACAAACTTAACAAAGGGGGAATTCCCAGCCCCCCAGAATGAAGGAGGACCACCAGCTGGTGAAGGGGGGATGAATCATGTGTTAGACCCCTGCATCTATTGTACCACCAACATCTGTCGCCTTGAGATCTGTGGCCGGACGCACAAGAAGCCGCGGGACGTTTTATTGTACAGAAACCGGGAAATCGCGCATTTAAAGGCGACAGATAAGCCTTCAATGAACGGTTATTCACCACCACAAGGGCGCCACATAGGCCAGCTGGACCCATTCTGGTGTGTCTGCTTCACCATAGCCCTCTCGGCTACATGTTGTACACAGCATGTGCTAGATAAATATTAACTCACCAAACAGCCGCCGGGACTTACCTACACTTGTTAGCAACATGATTTAGTCCACAAATAACATACTCTATTCCAGGGTTACCAACTGTGGTCAACGGGCTGGGGTTAAATTTTCAATTCGAAAGAAGTCAGCATACACATTTACATGTAACAGTTGAATTACTTTGTAAATAGTCTGTAGGGTTTGCAAACTACCGCAACGTTTCAAACGTATCTAATTTTAGGTTTACAGTGGAACAATATGGGTTTGCCGTAAGACTTCTTGTGTGAGCGTGAGAGCCCGATGCGTGAGTGTCACGCCAGATGCGTGAGATTTGGGAACCCTGCCATTCCTTTCAAATATTACTACTGGCCACCTCACACGCATCTGAAGTTAATTAATAGATTATTTAACTTTTCGCTTCCTTGAAAAACAAATCGCATACATAGTAACAGAAAGATTGTCTTAAATACACTGCATTATATCAATTGTTTAGCTGTTTAATTGTTATATAGTGCCATGGCCGTACCCCGATGGTCCTATGTAATCCACTAGCCGGTGTAGGACACACGCACCCGACTGGGGGGGGGATTATTTAACTCACCTTGATTGCAGAAAAAACTCCAGAGTTTGGCAAATATAACACCCATTATTGAATATTATTAATGCTGGTTTGGATGTTTTGCTGAGATCAGTTTCTTGGCTGGTAAACTACCCGCTGCCGGCGGCATCAATCGGCGGCCGTCCGCTCTCTCTCGGCCCCACGGCTGCACGCTGGACTGTCTCCGCTCCCCGATCCCCTTGTCCGGTGCTCCCAGTTCGCCTGCTAGCCGCGAGGCTAACGATGACCATTCCCCAGCACCAGGATGTCAGTCCTTTGTCCCAAGGAGCCGTATTTACACGCCGGAGCGCTTCCGATCGTCAGCCCGACAATCCTGACATTACAGCCACAGTCATATATATTTATGTTTTTGCGTTAACCTACGTTTTTTAAAAACAACCCGTCCGTATTCGCAAAGCCGGTAAGAGGAAAGTCACACAGTGCCTGGGAAAAGACGGAGAGGCGCCGGGTAACTGCGGCTCCAGCGCCCAGCAGCGCCGTACGTGGTTTAGGGATCCTCTGATCTGCAGCACCCGCCCCGGCTTAGGGTTACACCCCCGTGACGTGCACGGTCCCCAAACTGCTATGCAAGTAGTACAATGCATGCGTTATTATTAATAATAATAAACTAACAAATAAGTATGACTAAATACAATAGAGATACAAGGGATAATAAGAATATTTTGCTTTTTTTTTGGCCAAACAAGGCACTGGAGCACTTTTACAAACCCGATGTTTCTTTTACGCTATATTAAAAATCTGAAAGAAATAAGAAATTTAAATTAATCTGATAAATGAAAAATGTAACCATCTGTTAAATTGACCATTCATTTTAAAATGTTGCAAGGATTGAAACTGTTAACACGAACATGTATCTGAGTGTATGCAAAGAACTTGTTAATGTATGCAAATAAATAATTATTTAATTATTATGCTTTTAAAATTATTGCAAATGTTGTACCAGAAGTTAGGTAGGCCTCCTTAAAATTAATATGCAACGAAATAATGTATGCAAAGAAATAATTAATTATTATCCTTTTAAAATAATTAAAATTATTGCAAATGTTGTACCAGAAGTTAGGTAGGCCTACTTAACATTAATATGCAAAATTTTGGATCTTGGCTAGGTAGGTAGGCCCATGTTTTTAAATCAGTGGAAACACAGTCCAGTTCTTGAAGTTAAAATACTAATATAATAATAATGGTACTGTGTAGCCTGCACATGTAATTATTTTCTGCTAGTGAATAGTGGTGATTTACACCATGTTACAATAATAAGATATAAGATCGAATATATTACCAAATACGTACATTACGTTTTTTTTCTAGTTGACACATTCTGTGTCATTCACATTGCCTTACATTGGCAATTAAGGTTCATTACTCCTGAACTCCTGAAGTGCAACAACATTACTACAAATTCTTTACTATATATTTGTCTAAAAAGTATTTTAAAGGCTACTCATGTCACACATGAGTGTGTTTGGCTTTCTCCATCAGAAGGTCCTCGCCTCTTTTTTAAAGGAATCGAATATGACTACAACTAAACAGTCTATATATGGGCAATGGAAAAATGGGTACTGGAGAGGAAGCGGTCTTCTTTATTCTTTCGTCAGGGTACTTCTGACAACAGTTAATACATTCTGCCATATGTGGACTATTTCTGAACGTCCCTGGCCTTTTATAAGTTTTGTACTTAACTTGGACTCGATCCCTGGTTGCTTGGACTCAGACTCGGCCACCGACGACTTGGTACTAGGTTTGTTATGGTGACTGGACGAAACGTTCAAAACGTTGGTGTGTTTTATATTTCAGGTTCAGTTGCTTTGAAATGGTGATGAAAATGACTGTACTGGAGTTTGGTCTTCTCAGGGTCTCATGTGATTTAGTGGTGCTGTTGTTAATACAGTACCTCAGTGCGCCGCTCACAAGATATTAGCTAGCAGGGTTAAACTACACATCTGGGCAAAAGAAGAAAAAAACTAAAACTCCCAGACATCTCCGCGATTAAGCACTTAGCCAATGAGAAGGCAGCAGTCAACTGGCCCCGACACGGATATCCTGTACATGCGCTCTCCGAAGGGTAACGTAGGAAGCTTTGGTTTTTACTCCGGATTGCTCTTTAAAATTGATCGAGCGCCAGTGCAGTGTGGTACAAATTGCTTTGTATACTATGTGACATGTAGCGTTATATTATTTTTCGTTTAAAGTCTGTCATGTGGGGCCATTAAAAGTATCTGCCTACAAAAATACAAATGGATGGGATCAAGAGTCCGTGCGAGATTTTATTCAGTAATTATGTCAATCTGATAGTGATTGATGCTTTTAACTGGTGATGAGATAAGAAGGAAGGATCGTTAAAATGGACATGTATTGTCATGATTTGAAATTGGAAAACACCCCGAAAGAGACTTTTTACGTGCAGGTTCTGTGACAGCATTTCGGAGACCCCAGAAACTACGTGTTTTAGATGAGGACAGTGATGCAAGGTACTCTACAACCTGTTATCGTATAACGTCCATGTTGCACAAAAGTAAATTTAAATGCAATAGAAGGTAAAATGGACTTAACGACCCGTTTATCCTGTTTTCACCTGGCAGCGTTTGGGGAATCATGCACGAGGACTGTGTCAGTTTTACCAAAACTTAAGTTGAAGCCAGAAGTTCGTCAGTACCTCAGTAATGCATTTCAAAATAAAGAGGTGAGGCTTTTCCCTGTGACTTTTCGTGCTGATGTTATTGCAAAGACCGAAGCGCATACCTAGACACTGCGCCTCAGCTTAATCAATGAGACAAACTCCGTGTATAACATCCAGGAAGCTGAACTAAGCCACATGATAAGATGAGGGTGAGTAGGACGTTGTTTTAAAAGACTGCCAGCGATGAGCCTTTTTTGACGCATGCTCCATGTTGTGTCCAGTTGCTGGCGGAAGTGGGTGAACAGGAGGCAAATAAAAAGTTCGAGGAGCTCCTCACCTACCTGTCCCACCCCCCGGGCTTCACCTGCGTGCGAGCCAGCACCCACCTGGAGTCCCTGGAGACCATCAGAGACCAGCTGGTGGATGAGCTCCAAAAGGTATTGGCTGGAGTATGATCACATGGTCTGGGAATCGGTCATTATTGGTTCTCCCAGTTTGTGGGGGCCCTTGGCTCTGCTCTGGGGCCTGTATCACGAAGCAGGATTTCTTGCTTATCCAGATGATATGTCAGATTTAAGGTAGTCTGGGCTAAATGTGCGTGATCGAGGAAAAAGTCTTTTTAAACTGAGGTACCTTAAATCCGACAAGCTATTCGGCTAAGCAAGAAATCCTGCATCCTGAAACAGGCCCCTGGTCGCCAGATCAGCCGTTAAGAATTAAGCGGCCTGTAAATAAAAGAGGGAGATGGGTGTGTCTGTCACTGCTTGTTTGGAGAACGGAATGCATACAAATGGAGAAGCATTTATCTGTTTCACCAGCAGGTGGCATGGTCCTCAGGCAGGGGGCCAGTCCCAATATTTACACACCCGCAAGTTCCCGATGTTCTGCTCATTCCTGTCACCGGACCCCTGTAAGTACAAAGCGTAGGAAGCCTCCCTGCACGGGGTGGGTGGGGGGGGGCTTGTTGTTTCTGGGGCCCTTCTCAAAAAGTTATTTCCCCCCCTCCCCCCACCCAGATGTTTCAAAAACGAAATAGATAGCTAGTACTTAGAGTCAGGATATTGAAGCTAGCTGGCTGGTCAGTCGAACACGCAGCTTCAGCATCTCCTTGAAAGGGAACGCATTTATTTCATTAATATTTAGCATACTGACTGTTTGTGGCTAACGGTTTGAGTGGTTTGTGTGTCGGTAAACAATGGCACTGTCCCTGCATATGAAATGGCAAAATTCAGCAGAATCTCATCTATGGTGCCAAAATAGTCGGGGTTGTTAACTAGTTACTTAACTTCATGCTTTTCATTAAGTTAAGCTTTAATTTTAATTACGGACAGCAGTTGTATGAGCAGGAGTGTGGTATCTGGGGTGAGTTTAAGGCCTGTCCTAGCATTCACGGCTCATCCTCTCCACCCCCCACCCCCCCCTACCCAGGTCTGTCTGCCCGCAGAGGTCAGAGGTCATCGTAGGAGCACAGTGTGGGAATTCCGTCCTGCGGGGGGCTAACGTCTTCGCGCCTGGTGTTTTGTCTGCCCCTAAATGTAAATGCAGGTTGTGAGTGTGTGTGTGTGCATATGTGAGTGGGTGAGAGTGACAGAGGAAAAGAAAGGGAGACTAACCTAGTGCATGAGAGATGTGTCTGTGACCGGAAGGTCATAGGTTCAAATCCCAGGGTCAGCAGAGTGATGACACCATTGGGCCCCTGATCAAGGTTCATAACCCCTAATTGCTCAAGCAACATGGCTGGTCCTGCTTTCTCAGTTTTATCTCATTTTGGTTAAAAACACCTGCCAAACTAATATTGTAAGATTAAATTCTTAATTCAATTGTTATACATGCCTCAAACAGTCCGGAAGTCCACTATTTGTAATTTCACTTCCTCTCGAAGTACAATGCTGGTGAGTTATGTATTATATGCTAATATCACGCTGTAAGATCTTTTCACGTTAACTGGGCATTATATTTGAAATAACAGATCCGTGGCTTACCTGAAAGCAGACTATTGTCTAGCATTATAATTAGGTGACATTTGATCGACAGTACAGGTGGCCGGTGCAGGGGGGGGTTATTGACCTGCAGGCTCTCGCCCACAGACATGAAGGCTGGGGATTCGGTTGCAGTTTGCTCCGACGTCGAGGGCAGGTGCACGCGGGGGGCGACGGAGTTCCAGGGCAGGAAGGTTTTTCTGGGTAACGGGATTGCTGTGATGAGCCGCGCGGCGATCTTCCAGGCGGATGAGCCAGTCAGGTGGGTGGCGGCTTGATGGGGGGGACCCAGCTGGGGCAAGGAGAGGACGACCCCCGGGAATAACACTGTCTGTCCTTGCAGGGGGGTGGCAGTGAGGGTGCAGGAGCCTGTTTACCACAGCCCCAGTTTCGACGGCCTCCTGCCCAGACTCGTCTTCCTGCAGGTATGCTGTGACCCAGGGGACAGGAAAGGACTGGCCCTCCATAGCAGGGGTCTTCAAGGGGCTGGGAGGTGGCTAGGGGGCGTGATTGAAGTGCACATTCCAGATTTTAATTTAAAATTATTTGTGTACATTTCGGTTTCATTGTGTAGAAATTACAACACTATTTATGCATAATCCCCCTCGTTTCAGGGGACCTTAATGTTCGGGACATAGCAGTGGTGTGTATATTACAGCAGTCATGTTCAGTACTTCATTGCATGTCCCCGGCATGCAGTGACTGCTTGAGATCTGCGATTCATAGACATCAGCAGGTGCTGAGTGTCTTTCTCCTCCTTGTTTTGGAGACTTGTGCCTTTAAGTTTCCTCTCCAGCATATGCAAGGCATGCTTAACTGGAATCAAATCGGGTGATTGCTTGGCCATTCAAGAGTTTTCCATTTTTTTTAGCTTTGAAATATTCCCTTGTTGCCTTAGCAGTATGTTTTGGGATCATTATCTTGGATGAAGCGCCGTCATTTAGTGGAACTTGAGCAGATAAGATGGACTGTTAAAGTCTGGAATGTGCACTTTAATCACGTCTGAATTGTTTGATGTGAAATTTTAAACTGTGGAGCAGAAGGTTAAATCAAGGAAAAATGTGTCTTTGTCCCAAACATTATGGAGGGAACTTTATATTCTGTAGCTTTTGACTTCTAGGTCCAAGATGGTGTTCAGTGTTTTGTGGATGACGCTGCTTGTCCCTTGTGTCTTTTCCTTTACCTGTCTGTCTGGGGGAACCAGAACCTACCTTCGGTGGTGGTGAGCCATGTGTTGGGTCCACAGCCAGGTGAGAGGATTCTGGACATGTGCGCAGCCCCTGGGGGGAAGACCTCGCACATCGCCGCCCTGATGGGGGATCAGGTAACCAGTCGTATGCAGTTTAAACTGAATTCTGCAACAATGGACCTTCCTTGTGTTACACCATGCTACCACTAGATGCCGCCATTGCGCCATATGCACATACTCATACTATACCTCCCCCACTAGGGGGAAGTAATCGCTTTGGATAAGATTGCCAGCAAGGTGGAGCGGATTCGCCAGAACGCCTCGACCCTGGAGTTGGATTGTATCACGGCTTACTGTTTCAACAGTATCCGGGCTGTGTGTGCCGACCAGGCCCAGGTTCCAGGCAATGGTGGGACCCCCAGCCATGATGTGACACCCCTAGCTTTTAGCGGCCATTCACCCCACATGTCCCCCCCCTTCTCGTGCTCCAGGCGGGCCACCCTTCCCCCCAGAGAGTTTCGACAGGGTTCTGCTGGACGCCCCCTGCAGCGGCCTGGGCCAGAGGCCCAACATGGCCTGCCCCTTGAGCCTGCGTGAGGTCACGTCCTACCAGCCTCTGCAGCGCAAGCTCTTCCATGCAGTACGTGTCTCCACGGGTCACATGGTCACGCCCATGTGACCCCGGCCTCACTCTAGGGGTCATCTGCGGGCACTCTCTCCCAGTTTCATCCCCCTAATTAAGGAGATGCAGTTTTGTGAGCTGTTAGCCAGCCACTGATTACATTTACATTTCATTTATTTAGCAAGAGCATTTATTTAAAGCGACGTACATTGACTTTGAGAGTCGAGTCAGCCAGTCCCTGGGGTAACTGGGGGTCAAGGGCTTTGATCAAGGGCCCAATTATGACATCACTCTGCCGACCCGGGGATTTAAACCAGCGACCTTCTGATCGCAGGAAGTCCTAACCTGTCCTAACCTGCTCAATATTTATAATTTACCCTTACTTTATGTCGTGATTTCAAGTGGTTTGCTGTATATCATATTTAGTTGTGTAGTTGACATTTTAAATGAAACAAGGGCCAGATTGGAGGCTCGGTAAGTAGCGGTTTTTGCCTCACTTATCCAGGGCTGGAGTAGAGTTGCACCGATCCGATATTTGGGATCGATTTTGGTGCCAATCCACCAAATGTCCCCCACAATGTAATAAAAACCTGTTATTTTTTATTTTATTTTTTTACATTGTGGGGACCATTTTTCAGGTCCCCACAAAGATCTCAATGTAATCAAAAAAGTAAAAGTCTTTTATTTTGGTTTTGGTCACTTATGGTTAAGGTTAGGGCTGGGTAGGAGTTATGGTTGTCATGTTGCGATTAGAGTTTTCCCCATAGAAAGATTAGAGTCCCCACAAAGATATAATTACAAATTACCATCTCCTGTGATGGAACGGCCCCCCTTCCTCACACCCCATAATTTCCTGAGATAGGCTCCAGGCCCTCTGCAACCTTGCACTGGATGAGCTGCTGAAAACCAGATGGGTTAGGAATAGGGTTGCAAAATTCTAGGAATATTCTTGTTAATTCCCATACTTTCCCGTTAATTCCCATGGAAAGTTTCTAATGAGGAATATTTCCAAAATTCCCCAGCTTAACTTCCCATGGAACGGAAAGTTTCAGGAAAATTTCCAGAAATTTTCCAGCCCTTTGCAACCCTAGTTAGGAACTACTGTAGCGTGATGTTTTTTTGCCCCGTTTGACACTGTAGTAGGAATTACTGCATGAGCAGTGACAGCATCACCAGCAGAGGGCAGCATGACCACTGAAGCCTAACTTGCGAGATGCTAAACTTCGTTTGGATGATGTGCTTAAATAAACGTCCAGATTACTGTGGGGAGGTCTCCGCTCTCTACTGTGTTTAAAGCACTTCTTCAGAAACTGGCCGTGTTGCAGGCAGATTTACCAAAGACACCATTTATCTATCTATTCATCTAGATATTTCTGCTGAAGTAACTCTGCCCAGTTTGACTACAATAACCATTCCTCCCCTGGGTCTCAAACCGTGAGGTTTTCAGCTAAATCTGGGCATTTAGTTCCTACCAAGTCTTAGTGGTTCTGCTCATTTTTACGGGTTCGATCAGTTAAGTTTTACCAGTAAATGGTATCGTTAACAGAGTGGAAGTGTGATGTTACCCATTCAAGCTGGGAATTTGTACTGAAGAGACTCGGCGGGGAACTTCCTGGCACTCGAGCCTGTAATGTTCAGCTTAAAAGGCTTGGCTGTCAGCGTGATGTGCGCCTTCCCATCAGGCCGTGCGGCTGCTGCGGAGGAGCGGCACCCTGGTGTACAGTACCTGCACCGTCACCCTGGCAGAGAACGAGGAGCAAGTGGCCTGGGCGCTCTCCACCTTCCCGGACCTGACGCTGCAGCTGCAGGTGGGCGGGCGTCCTGGCTGGGGGGGGGGGTTCACCATGGGGTCTGAGCCCAAACTTGGATGCCTAAATTCGGAGATGGCCCAGCTGGCTCCCAGCGTCAGGTTGGGGGGTGGATTCCCTGAGATGATCCGGGCCCCTGTGGCATTTGAAGAATCATGCGTTCAGGGTTCAGAAGCTTTCGTGTAGCCGTGTTTACCATAAGGTCCTGGAATGCATCCCCACTGTGTTTATAGAAACTTCTAGAAGCCTCTTTTCCCGACCCAGCTCTTGGGTGACCCAAAGCCGGCCCGCTGAACTGTCTCGCTCTGCCTCTCAGCCTTCGCCTCTGATTTTATTAATCGTTTCGTTCTAATAGGCGCCTTATACTTAGCGCGAGATCAGTTAAGAGGGTGTGTGAAGCCAAACGTTAACGCAATGTTAAACTGGCCTAGAACAAACTGTTTTTTTGGACCATCCAGATCCCGCACATCGGAGGAGAAGGGATGCCGGGGGCAGGCCTATCAAATGACCAGCGCCGCCTGGTCCAGAGGTTTAGCCCGCGCCATGAGCCCAGTGACTCGGGCCTGGCGGGGAGAGACCAAAGCAGCATCCTCCGGCAGGCCAACGCAGACACCATCGGCTTCTTCATAGCCAAGTTCCAGAAGACCTGAGCGCCAGCCCACCCCAGAGGGGGGAGGAACCCATGGCAGCACCTCCCGGTCACGTGACAAGCAGCTCAGGAAGCCAGCAAGAGTGAAGTACGAATCACGACACCTTCACGTTTTCCGTCTCGCTGACCAGCGGCTCTGTTTTTTTTTCCGGAAACCATCCCCACGTGACACCACCGGCCAGGAACACCATATACGGATGGCTCATGCCCCCCCACCCCCACCCCACCCATGGTTGTCTTGGAGATGGTGACGGCACGGCTGTCATGGCAACGGCTATGTGACGGCAGACGGGGAAGTTTGAGAACGGAGGAGAAAGTGATTTATCACTCGAATCGCGTCTTTACCGGGCGGCGACAGGACTGAGGATTATTTTTAGAGGGCAGGTTCTGCGTGGGGCTTATTTTGAACACTGCTTATTTTGCTGTATTTATTTATTTTTGTAGTACTACTGAAATAAACATTTCTGCAGTCCTTTGAGTGGTGGTCTTTTTTTGAATGACAGCCCGTGTGTGATTGATTAATGTGCGCAAGTTGCTGTTGGTATCCGAACTGCTACTTAAGCCGTCCTCCAGACCACTATTTCTACACCCAGTCCACAGGGACCCCCAGTCAGTCTATATTTTTGTCCCTTCCCAGCTCCCATACATTCAGGACAGTGAGCACCTGACACAGGTTTGCTGAGCTGGAGCGGAAACACTGCCCCGGGCATTACGCATGTGGACCGGTGTTTATCTCAGGTTATTCTTACCCTACGTTTCACTGGCTGCCGGTGGTAAAGGTTAAGAACTACAAACATATTAGGCTGGGAAAAGCACCCAGAAATGATCTTCAGACTTCCTGGCAGGAAGTGAGTGGGGGGGGAGGGGGGGTCATTTTGGCACTGGCACTCAAGTGATTGTGGTGAGGGTTGCCATGGTGACCCCCAATGTTTGTCCAGTAACAGCCCCAGTCTGGGCACATGCCTCTTACCTCTGCATCCACAGACGTGTGTTCTGTCCTGCTAGGGGAGGGGAGGGGAGGGGGGGGGGGTTGTATGTCCCATTTAAACCATTTTAAAAACAAACCCAGCTGAAGTCATGGGTAAAACACACCAGAGGCAGAGGTTCCGGTACAATCTTACTGCCACCCCACTCCTATCCGAACTTATAATTTCTCTAGTTGTCTTTGCTTGACCGCATAGTTTCAATTTAGATGCAAATATAAGAATATCAGGCCAGCAAAAGCACCACCCACCACCTGACACTGTTAATTCCATAAAGGGGTCACAGGCTGTGTGAAAACAATACAACTCAAAGCCCAATTTTTACCACAGAAAAACGCTTGGTGTGTTTATCAATATTTACCCAATAATTACCTTAATTTGGGGTGGGTTTCCCAGAGACAGGAATAATACACGCAGAGATACTCATAGATCCATATGAATTACGTGTCAGAGGACGTTCTTCCAGAACTTTCCGCTTCCCATCCAGGCCTCCCACGAGCATGTACACTTGTAACATTAGTCACACCAATACTTACGTTAAAAATATTTACCGGTGCAAAGCTGGGGGTGTTTGTGATGAAGACCTGTTTTAGTCTGGCATACTTGTGGTGACAACTAGTGGAAAGCCCCGCCTCCACCTGGGTACCGAGCCAATAGCGAAGGCTCTGAAGCTAAGAGGTGTCTGTGCACCAATGAAACTAGGCCTTAGCCTATATGAATGTTTATTTTGCACATTTTAGGCAATAAACTTCAAAAAAGAAGCCGGAAATCCAACTCAAGGCAGAAACAGTAACGTCCCACTTAATGTTGATTCCAGATCTCTGATCTAATTCCTTAGCCTGCTGCCCAGACAAATCTGAAATTCAATTTCAAAATCAGCATATAAATAAATAAAATGAATAATTCAAAAGGCTTTTAAAGCACCGAGGTTGAGATGGAGATCAAGTCAGACTTCGAAACAAAAGCCACTTTCGTTTGCGTCTGTGTCGACAAGTTTATTTCTTTTTTTTATACATCTATGTACATTCAAAATGTACATTCTTACAAACATGGAATTCTACCAGTGCTGTGGAGTGGCAGGACCGAACAAAATAAAACAACAACAAAACAAATGAAAGCCGAGAAAACTGAACGAAATTAAATGAAGTCGTCAGTGGAGTGATAGTGCTGGCAGTTCACACCAAAAAGAGAGATGTGCGTGTTAAATGAGACTCAAACAGCGATGTCATGCAGTCCTGGTTTAAACTGAACAGAAAATGAACAGAGGATGAACAGGAAGTAGTAATTCCTTGTTGCCATGGTTCTAGTTGCCATGGTTGTTTTAGAATATGAGCATGTAAGTCACAGCTACAGAACGGACAGTTAAATAAATAAGTTAAAATCGATTTTACAGTGCAACCTTTCCTACGAGTTCCTCTACAAAGGCATTCATGAATTATATACAAATGCATATAAACTGACCAAAAATATATATATATTTAAAAGCTCTTGAACAATTGGACATGTAGAGTACCCAGCACAGACTTTTCTGGTCACGTATGATGAAACTTGGACAGAAGGCTTAGAAAAGGGTCCAGAAAGATCCAAATGTATGACTAAAATCTTCAATGCAAGAGAAAAACAGGCATATAAGTGTGTTTTGCATATGTGTCTGTGTGTGTTTGTGTATAGGAAGTACAGACCAGTTACATCCAGTTTGCTTTGTAGTGAAAAGGTGAGACATTCCAATCACTTATGAAAGAAGATCATCTATAAGATGTCCACCATCTTTCCACCACATCACTGCAGTTGTTTTTGAAGGTTATTTTTTTTCCATTTTTTTTAGTCCAGGCATGTCAAACTCCAGTCCTGGGGGGCCAGAGCCCTGCACATTTTTGGTTTCCCCTCATTTAACACACCTGATTCAACTCCTTGCACCTCCTCGTGCTAATTACCACACATCGCTTGAGCTGAATCACAGCTCAAGCTCTTGAGCTGAATGGAACAGGGAAAGGATTAAGCTACACAGGGCTCCGGCCCCCCAGGACTGGAGTTTGACACCCCTGTTTTAGAGTATGGACAAATTTATGACTCCTGCAGTCTGCCTGTGGAGAACATCTTTCAGGCAAAAAGGGGGCTGCCCTCAAACCTCTCCCTCCCAGAAGGCCAGGCTCGTACTGGGAGGCCCCCATATGGTACAAGGTCTACTGGGAATTCCATTGGTGCTACGCAGCACAAACAAGGTGACCCTGATGTTCTCGATCGATAGGCCACCCATGCCCCGGTCATACGGTGGGGTACCAAGTGTGTGGTGTAAATGTGTGCATGCGTGTCACAAACCCCCCCAAACCCCACCACCCCTACCCGAATCTACACAGGCTGGACTGTGCTGGTTAGCATCACATAGCAATACCGCTATCGTCTTGTAAGGCAAGACTGCTGATATCCTCCAGAAGGACACCAGGAGCTGTCAGAGGACCAGAAGACAATCACGAGATCCAGAAGACAGAAGATACAACGACAAACAGACAAAAACAACAGTAAACTTAAATGTTACATTTAAACACAAACAAAAGTTGCATAACATGAACCGTGACTAAACGGACATGACCCATGCAGACGGAAGCTTCTCGAAACCCTGGTGGGTGTTTCTCACTCACCGCCCACCCCCCCCCCCCCCCCCCCCCCCCCACTTCATGAAACAGTAGTCTATTTGCAACGGGGGGGCGTTCACAACAGAAAGAAAAAGAAACAGAAAATATACCAGCACAACCTTCACAAAAAAGGCTTCTACGATTAAAAATGAAGTCTAAAAATATAAAGATTATCTCCTTAACACACATCAAAATATATTGCGGATATTATTTTCCTAAAAGTGTTGCCCCCGCCCCCCCAATATGCCATTTTATGCCTCTATACTAGTACCCACCCCAAAGAATACATGTATTGTAAAAACATTCCAAAACGAATGCACAGAATTGCATATATGAAAGTGGTGATAAACATAATATATTTTGCTGTATGTGCTGCATATCTCAACATTATATCACAAACTTATCCCTTACGGTTTAGATTTCACATTTTACCGCAACTTGACACGCACATGTTGCTCATAACTGGAACACAGCACACAGAACAGCAGTCACACAGACACACACACGCGTGTGCGGATATGTGCTCGAAACGTGGATACCTTTGAGTGTTCTCGTGCGGGCATAGACCCACGGAAGCGTACAGACTTTTTTTCGTCCTCCTAAAAAAAGAAAAACAAAAAAAAACTATGCTGCTATTGAAGTGGATACGGGCGTTGCCACAGAAACTGTTGCCATAGCAACTATCGCCATGGAGCCTGCATCAGGGTCCGAGGAGGGTCCCGCCGGGTCCTAGCAGAGGCGGATGTGAAGACAGGCACTATTGGGCATAAGCGTCTCTGGTCCATTCGCTGGTGTCCCCCCGTTTCCGGGACTGCGCCTCCCCATCGCGGTCTCGGTCCCGGTCCCGGTCCCGGTCCCGGTAGTAATGATGATGGTGATGCTCCCGGGTCCCCCGAGAGTGGTGCCCTCGCTGCCTGTTACGTTCGTTGTGGTCCTGCTCGTGGTCACGGCTGTCACTGCGGTGATGGTGACGATGGTGGTGATGGTGATGATGATGATGGTGGTTGTGCTCGTGGTGACCCGCTTCCTCGTGCCGTGATGCCGCGCCTGCACCTGGCCCCACCGCTGCCTGCTCCTCCTCGGGAAGCTCCTCGCGGGGCTCTATGTAGGCCGAGTCCCGGCTCTCCGGCGTCTCCAGGTCCAGCGTCTCCTGCCGGGACAGGCGCCGGCCCGACTTGCTGCTGCTGCTCCGGTGGTGATGGTGATGGTGGTTGTGGTGCTCTGTCCGTGTGGAGGAGGAACGGTGATGCGTGTGCTGTGCCCGCCGGGAAAGTTCCGGCGCCTGGGGCCTGTCGCCACCAGCCTCGGCCTCCGTGTGGCATGTGTGCTCCTCCCGTGACGCCTTTCTGTCCCCTCCGGCTTTGTCAGCCTTCTGCACGCCCCCAGAGCCCTGCGTTAGCAACACACAGTCTGTTAGCAACGTTAGCCTAGCATGTCAACAGGGCCGGCCCAACGTGTAAGCAAAGTAGGCGGCTGCTTAGGGTCTAGTTGCCACCAGGGGGCCTCCATCGAATCAGCCCATCAGAATGAGAAAGGAGATAATAAATGACAACCAGGTTAATCACATTTTGCTTAGGGCCCTGAATAGTGTTGGGCCGGCCCTGCATGTCAATCATGTTCTTCAACTGACAAGAGTAGCAGGTGCAATTTAATGGACAAGGTTCGGCCCATGTGGTCGGCCCACAAGGTCCCAGTGACAAAAACATGACAGAAATGCACAGTACAACACATAAGATCACCACAAACGTCCCGCCACTGAATAAAAGACCACATCTACCATGTAAGTCAATTTCACAGAGAATTTCCTAGAGAAGGATGAACACAAAACTGTACAATCAGAGTGGAATATACGGCTAGTACTGCTTCAGAAATGTTACCTCATGGGTTGTTACTTATTACTATAAAAATGTGTAAATGTAAAAAGCAGCTGAAATGATATTGTAGTAATTGTAAAATTGTATAAGGAAATCAAATGTCCTTCACACATTGAGCACACTGTTAATGCATTTAATGCACAAAAATTCAGAGCAGCTACTCTGAGGAGAAGGGGATAAGTCCAGTGCCCGGCTCGCTCGTTACCCCTTCCCTTCCTAACCGCATAGTCTGAAGCTATCAAATCGGACCAGTTATTTAAAATAATACCTAAAGATCCAGCCAGTAACAGCTAAGCACCTTATTGTATCCCAGGATATTTTGCGCTCTCCAAGTAGTTACTGGACCTCTGAAAGGGTATACCTCATCAATGTGTTCTCCTTGATGAGACCCAAAGACCCCCCCATCACGTACCTGCAGGCTGGCGACGGGGGCAGGGCTTGAGGGCACAGTATTGGCATCCAGCTTAGCCGCCAGCGAGTTGGCGGGGCTGCAGCTGGACGGGTGGGTGGATTTCCAGTAGGTCTCCAGGTATTCGGCCATATGCTCACATGCGTCCTCCAGCTGGTTCTCATCCAGGATGATATCAAACATCTCCTTTTTGGGGAGTGGGGGGGGCAGTGAAGAAAAGGTCGTTTACTAAAATTAGCAGTTGGACACGTGTAAACTGGTACATTATGGTAGTTAAAGGAACAGAGAGAGGTTTTGAACTGGAATCGGACCAGTAAAACCAAGAATGGTGACCTCTCAAGCCGACTCTCCTGAAAGCTAGGTCAGGCACCAGAGGGTGTACACAGGGGCGGGCTTTAGGGGAACATGCTCAGGCTGAAAGCTGATTGGCCCACGTAGTGCCTCTTGCACTGTCACTCACTAATTCAAAATATACCATTGACTAAGGACAAGGTCAGCATTTCTGTATGAATTATGACCCTTCTTATGCCCCCCCCCCCCCTTAAAAATTCTAGAATCATCCCAGTCAGGCATGCTGTGGGATGTTCACATGAATATTCACTGACAGCTGTTGAGTCTTCCATCCATTTAAAAATAACCCCAAAGCACTGAAAACAATAGCCCCTTTCATGATTTCAGTGTACTTTGTAGTGGACTAAGATGCTTCCAAAATGTTTTTGACCTAAACTGTGTTTGTGCCTCTGAGGATGAATCAGGTCACGCTGAGAGGGGTCAGAGGTCACCGTGAGGTCTCGTGGGAAGGCTGGCACTCACGGGCGGGCACTGCGCCAGCTTATCCGCTGCCACCATCTGGACGTTCAGGTGTTTGGCCTGGGATTTCCCCCTAGACTTGATGAGCCTCTGAAGGACCTGTACGGGCACAGAAGAGGACAGAGCGTACAGTTACTGAAAGGCTGCAGCACTCCTGCAGTGGGAATGAGGAGAGAATGAGCACTGTAAGGAGGATGACCTCAAATGGAATAGTCCATCACTCTGCTGGACACCTGTATTTTAGGGGTGTCCAGCTACATCGTTACAGGCAACCAAGATCCAACGATCTAGGACTCAATCAAAAGGTTGTCCCCCACTCCTGGAATGGGATCAGCCCGCTCCCTCACTCCTGGGATGGGATCAGCCCCCACCCCCCCACCCCACATTCCTGGGATTGGATGAACTAATTTCCTTTTTCCTAAAGCACTCACCCCCAAGGACCTCTTGGACACATGTTGCATCACAGTGACAGATAAGGACCGTTTGGCCTGCTGCCATGATCTGGCTGCCTAGTTAATGAGGGTGATACAGACACAAACTGAAATGGGGCAGGTGGAGGGGGGATGTGTGTGTGTGTGTTTACCTTGGGGGATGAGATTTTGACATAGACAATGATGGGTGCTAGTGAGGTCTTCCCCAGCTGGGCAGGGTGGTTGATGGTGTCTGCATCCAGCACCACCAGCTGCAGGGTCCTGGCCAGCTCAAAGATGCGCTCGATCTCGCTCTGCACCTCAGCTGTGGGGACAGAGATCGGCTGTAACACCCCGCGGACTGAAAGACACCACCCATGCGGGCGGTGCAACCATTTCTGCTCCAGGAAATTCACATTGGATATTGGAATGGAGATGTTGGCCTTGATGAAGCTGATTGAAGGTCTCCGATTTGCATTTCTAGACACACCAGGGTGGTAACCAGCACCATGGGATGCACCAGACACCAAATGGATGAACAATGTCCGGAGACATTACGGTATTCTTTTAAAAAATAATAGCATAAGCGATAGGAATCAGGGGATGGAGAAAGGTGTACTCAAGCCACTGGTCACACATTCATCCATGAGGGGGAGGCCGGGTATATGCTCAAGAGCGGTCGCGGTTTGGACCTTGGCCCAGAAACACCACAAGCTGGGAACGAGCGGAACCACGTTAATCCTGAGCTGGGTCGCTGAGGACAGGAGAGCCGGGAACAGCACGTGGCAGGACTTACCTAAACTACCCTCCGCTGCAGCAGTAGCAAAACTGCACTAAAAAAACTGTCCATTCTTTTGTGTTACGAGTCCTTGGGCACATACAGTCTCCGCTAAAGCACAAAGCGTTACGCCAAGAGTTCTGCGGTGCTGATTATGGTAGTCGGCCGATGACAGATTACCGCCCCCACTAAGGGGTTTGGCAGCAGCCATCTTGCTTTCATTATATATCCAAAAACGGCCCTGCCAAAATCAGAAGGGCCCTAACCGCACGTAATCACCATTCTCTTCCCGCAATGGTGAGATTCAGTCAGTTCCCCCTCTTGCCAATGAGTAGACCATTAATTAAAAACAGACCTCTTTGATCTGCCCCTGCCTCTAATCAGTAAACAAGCTACGATCTCAAAGCAGGCACTTTGACAGCTCCTGATAGGCATCGAGTCCGTCCACAGGTCTTGGCGAAGTGGCGCAGGATGGAAAAAGACCATAATGTGCCGTCATGCAAGAGATTACCTCTCTTCTGATTCAACGTGACACAGCGAGATACATAAAGCATTTTTAATAACTTTGATAAACATTAAAAGCTCGTCTGACATATCTACAAAGACTGGTGATAAGAGCGATAATGAAATACAGGGTGAGGCTTCACTGTTGAGTGGTGTCTAAATCATACAAAATCCTGGGATCAGTACAGTAAATATTAGACTCTAAATTAATTCGAGAAGGTGTCGGGATACGGGGGACCCTTTACCCAGATTCAAGGGGGTGTCAGGTGATGATAGGACCCTTACCCAGATCTAAGGGGTGTCAGAAGATGGGAGGATCCTTAGTCAGATTTGAGAGGAGATAAGGGTGCAGATTTGAGGGGGTGTCAGAGTACAAGATGGCACTTCAAGAAAGTGCAGAGAGATGGGAGAATCCTTACTCAGAATCAAGGGGGACCCCTACCGAAATTTGAGAGAGTGACAACGTACAGAGAAGACCCATTCATAGATACAAGGGGATGTCAGGGTATGGGAGAACCCTTAACCAGATTTGAGGGAGTGTCAAGAAATGGGAGACCTGTACCCAAATTTTGCAGGGTACCTGGGTACAGGATAACCCTTACCCAATTCAAGTTTGAACCGGAGGATAGGTGGTTTCTGGGTACAGGATAACCCTTACCCAGATTCAAGTGGGCACTGGAGGATAGGTGGTTTCTGGGTACAGGATAACCCTTAGCCAGATTCAAGTGGGCACTGGAGGATAGGTGGTTTCTGGGTACAGGATAACCCTTAGCCAGA